CATCTACAACAAATCCACGCGTGTTTTATAAACAACAAAAGTTTATATATAGATAGCTTAACAGTGACAGAAAACAAAAGAAATGAAAATTTCTCAACACGGCTTGCTAATTTCAAAATAATTATATACTTAGATTATTTCAGTTTGGATATGGGTCACAAATATTGTCTTTAAGAATATTTAACATATAAATTATCCTAACATACCATAAAATAGAGGCGAAGCCTCAACTGTATTTAGTGTAAACTTCAAAAATACATCAAAAATACACAATAAAAGTAAAAACTGCAGTAGCAAAAAATGCGAGTCAGAGCAAGAGTTCGATAAAGAATCTGTTCTCAGTTTAGCAATAGGACTCGAATACGTTTTTAATACAACCTACTTTAAATTATACACAAATGACGTAAGCTTCATGGGGAAATAAAGTTGCGAGATAAGTAAACAAAGAACACGCGTTTGAAACGACAGAACTAATATAAGAATATATTTCGACAAAGCCGATTCCAGATTCTATTCTCATTATCGACAAGTCTAGCCTCTCAAAATCTACTAGTCATTAGTCTACTTCTTGCAAAATGATTCGCAGAATTGCGTTCGGGGAAGATTCTAAAACCATTTCTCACTCTTGTTCCGCTTGTTAACTAACCAACAAGTTTCTTCATATGTTATCCGCACTAAAGTGAATTCTTGTCTTCTCACTCTCTCTCTCCGGCAGCAGTCTGAAACTTTAAACCCTGCCCGGCCTTCGATGACATGCCGACACTTCCCAGAGGTTACGTACTATATCGTCGGAGTCGGGTCGTTAGGGCCACGCACGGCTAGAAAGTAATCGGTTCCAAACAGTGACATTTCTCCGCTTAATTTCTGTGTTAAAGAATAGAAACTCTCTGACCTGAGAGAGTCCGGTGTCTCTAATCTAGGGTGAGCGAGAGTCTAGTTTATTTTTTAAGCTTGGATTACAAGGCCGTTTCGTTCCAGTGTTTGTTTGAATCTTGATTCGTTGGATTGTAGAAAAGATTAACATTTCTGCCGTTTTCTAGGTCAGACCCATACACTGTTCTCAAGGCTATCCTTGACGCTATCGTTGTCGTGATAGGCTACACAAAGGGAAAATTTCACCATAATTTTAGGTCGATAATGTGGTCTTTAAAACTTACATAATCGCATTATGAGTCAAAATATATGACAGATGCTGCCATGTTAATGTGCTGCTATTATGAGTCAAAATATATGACAGATGCTGCCATGTTAATGTGCTGCTATTATGAGTCAAAATATATGACAGATGCTGCCTTGTTAATGTGCTGCTATGTTTCTTTATTACATTTACAAAAATAAGTTAAAGAATGAGAAATTTGCTACGGTTTTGATATTGCTACTTGGTTTCTACTGTATATTTATAAAGAAAGAAATTAAACGTTACGACAATTGCCAGGATGCTAATGTCGCTGCTAAGGTTCTTCTGCATATTTATAAAGAGGAAAATAAATTACAAAATTCTTGACCTGGCTCTAGTTACCTACTGATTCTTAAACATCTAAGTTATGCCTTGATGCTAATATAAAAATAAGTTATTCAATAGAAGAAAATAAACAGTAAGTATTTACAGGAAGAAAATATATTAAAAACAAACAGAAAGATTTAAGAGCAGGATAATAATGGTTTTTTTTCTATCACAACTGATCATTTTCAAAGTAACCATAACTTCGATGGGTCACTCGTAGAAAGGAAAAAGAAAAAGAGAGACGCCATGCTGCTCATCTAGACAAAGCGGTATTATAATTGTCATGCCACCAACACTTAAAATGTATTGAGGCAGTTTGACTATCTACCACGTGGTTTATCTCAACGAAATCGTTTAGCATAGTATACGTACAGTGATTATATCGCCTCCTGACTTTGTACACACCATACCCATCGGCACGCTGCTGAGAGGTAGGGGTCACCAGTCGCCGGGGATGAAGAAGAGTGTTGGAAGATGGGTGGGGAAGATATGCCAGACAAGGGCCACCCACAACCACCAAACAGGGTGATCGTTTTAAAGGAAGAAGAGATACTGGCATGTGGAGGAGGAGGTGCTATGAGAAAAGCTAATTCTCATTACAAAAGGCAAGTGTAACTAAATGTATTAAAACTTTGATATTGTTTGTTTTTAGACAGGCCCGCGGAAGAGGTACATCCGCCTTTTCTAAAGACTGAACATAAAAATCTGATATTATTTAATTTCTTTACCTACATTTTACGTTTGTCAAAAATGTATATATACTTCTCATGAAGCTAGATTATTTATTATGTATATTTTGACGGTTTAAATTGGTTGAATTCTATCCTACATATTAGCTCAAGATACTACTAGCATCTCATTCCTCTCATGATTATCCAATGAAAATACGGCTATATAGAAAATAGAAACTTGTAGAAATAAGTTTGCACGTTATCAGATGAATAGCCAGTTTATAAGTAAACTATTTTATCATAAGGTATTTAAGTCATTAAAAAAAAAAAACATTTATAATGGTTTAGAAGAAAAATGTACTAATAAGTTCGTGAATATACGAAACTAATGACTAGTCGTAAAGAATCATTGAAGTGCAGTTAATCTACGGATTATGCTTTAAAAAAAATAACAGTCTGCTTTTATAGGAATAACACTGGAAGTAATAAACCGGCAAGGTTTAAACACGTACTGTTTTGTGAGGATACGCAGCCCATTCAAGCCAAATCTCTACTAGGATATCTTTATGTTTATTATAGAACGTACATTCTGTGTTTATCAAGTAAGACTTGTCAAGATAATGGAACTTGTCAGATAACTGACACAACTAATATATACCCACTTACCACTTCTACTGTTGTACCGACACCAAGGTGAGAGGAAGGCTGGTTGTGTTTCTTTGAAGCTATAATATCTCTGCAATATTCTAGTGACTCGAGTTTTTATGAGGCTGAGCCAATAGCTCATCTAATTTTGAGTTAATAATTCACCTGAGGTTCTTTGAAGTCAACGTAGTGATTCATTTAGAATAATGTGAATTTAGAATATTATCTGAGTGTCTATGATATTAAATTAGTATCTTATTTTAATTTTTGTAAAAGCAAATGAGTAACTCACCTGAGTTTCTGTTAGACTAAGACTCTGAGCTAACTGTTTCCTCTCGGTTCCTACTACGTAATGGTTCTTTTCAAATGAATGTTCTAACTTCAGAAGCTGGGCAGGAGAAAATGCGGTTCGGATTCTCTTCGGTTTTCTGAACGGATGAAGTAGAAATCCAGGAACATCCGGAACTGCGAATATGAGGATCAAACACTTAACACACAATCGGTTAAACGTTCTTTATGTCGCATTCTTTATATTTAGTTAATATTTAACTTTATTATGAGAGCACATTTTTAGGGTAAATATACATATTCTTACCATAGTGCTTTAAATGCTTATATAGAACTTTGTTAGATATAATTTATCTTCAGGTTTAAGTAACCACAGAGTAAATCTAGTAGCCCATATTTTATAATCGTTGTTTGAGTTGCTTATCTTATCCTCTCCATAGCTAACAATCAAACCGAGAAATAAATGAAACTGTGTGGTTTTTCAGTTTCTCTAAATATCTGCAAAACTGGCAATTTTAGGAATTACTATTGCAAATACAAAGTGAGGGAGATTATAATCACACGTATCATCGCACTGTATTTAATTATAATCACACTTATATCATCACGCTGTATTTAATTATAATCACACTTATTATCACACTTTATTTAATTATAATCACACTTATCATCGCACTGTATTTAATTATAATCACACTTATCATCACGCTGTATTTAACTATAATCACACTTATCATCGCACTGTATTTAATTATAATCACACTTATCATCACGCTGTATTTAACTATAATCACACTTATCATCGCACTGTATTTAATTATAATCACACTTATCATCACGCTGTATTTAATTATAATCACACTTATTATCACACTTTATTTAATTATAATCACACTTATCATCGCACTGTATTTAATTATAATCACACTGTATTTAAAATCAAATATTTCCAAACATTCATCGATGTATTTTTTATTTGTTTGTTTTGAAGCAAAGCCACATCGGCTTTGTGTCCACTACGTGGAATAGAACCCCGGATTTTAGCGTTGTAAGTCCATAAACTTACCGATGTCTCACCGGAGGACTGTTTTTAGTCGTTTTATTTATGCAGTTTCTAGTTTCAGAAATATCATCAGGCTTACATTGTTGATAAATATTTACTTATTGTATGGTGTTAATAAAACAATTCCTATCCGTCAACCTACGCATCACTTATAGTTCTATTGCATATATGTGTATATCATATATATATATATATACTCACACACATATACTGTGAGCATGATTTTCCATTTTTTTTTTAAACTCTGGCCTATAACTAGCTCGCTGTTTCTTACATGCTGAAGAAATAAATACTGAATATGAGTTTAGAATGACTCGAGGTGTTTGCTGTAAAATCTGTTAATTTTTACTTGAGGTCTGGAGAGTGGTCCAGGGTATTAAGGTTAGTGGTTCAGAAAGTCAAGGATCTTATATGAAATGTAGATATAAGGGCGGAAAATCAAAGATTTGTGCTAAGCCACATGTGAACCACAAAATCAGGACTTCTACAGTATGATAACAGGAAACTTTTCTTTTATTATTTTGCACTACGCGCTTCAGTTCTCTTAGATCGAATGTGGCCTAAAGATTAGTGTGTCGGGCTGCTGATCGAGGAACCCAAGGTATGAGGCATGATGCCCCAGAACACGCTCCTCACTTTCAGCTGTGGATGCGTTCAAAATTAACAGTCAATCATGCTATTTCCTTCAAACAACCGGACAAATCTCTTGCGACGACGAGTACTGCTGGTCGACTGCTTTCCTTCTAGTCAGTAATTCAAACTTAGGAACGGCTTATTCTGAGCTCTAGGGGTCATTAACTTAGCCATTTAACACATGTGTCGTATACGTTGCTGTTCTGGTTGAATTTTTCAATTTTAGTCTCGTTAATTACAATACATTAATTATAAATTTTTCCCAATACATGCTCTGTGACTTTTTGTAATGCCACTTAAAACTAACGAAAGTAATCCCCAAATATAAATAGAACTCAGTTTAAAAAATATGAAAAATAAAACAAATACAGAATACACTTTATTAACCTTGTATAAGGCTATTTGTGTAACTCATAAATATTTATTACTCGTTCAATCATTAAATGTTTAGATTTTGCTATGTTTAAAAAAAGTCAACTTGTCTATCGCTGATGATCCCTGCTTGTACTAGATGTAAATCAAATTCATAGAATGTTGTATCTTCTTTTCTAAATATATACACACGCGACTACAGATAAACATAGAAAAAAAATATATATAGTGCCCATCTCACCGCATAAGGGTGTAGGGTAAAAACACACTTGAAAATTAGGTGGCTAATGTGGATTTAAGAATTTCATAGACATGCTAAAAGGCTGTAGTGTCTTTATTAGACCTATTGAACACAAATAATGACAGCATTCGTGTTACAAGGTCTACTTCATTAAATACTTCTCTTTCATCTCTTTTTAAGCAGACAGTCAGCAGAGATTGGAGAGGAGAAGCTAGTTTCTCATCAATCTAAGGATTCAGAGTTCGCGTCTCATTGGCGCAAAAATAAGCTCTGCAAATGAGCTATAAGAGTGATGGTCCAAATCAAAAATATAGGGTTGATGGTGAGTGCTGTAGTCTAGTTACATTCCCCTGCTTTATCAGTTCAAAGCTATGAGCAGATAACCCTTATGTAGCTTTACACGAAATTTATCAAACAAACAAGTTTCTTCTCAAGGTTCGTGACTCAGCGGTCTCGGTATTGTCTTAGAATTTGTAAAGATAATGTGATCTGAAAATCTCCAAGACATGTAATATTGATGATATTCATATTTCAGTTCCCTAAAATGTACAACCACAATAAAAGAACTGTAGTGTAAAAACACCTATTAATATCAGTGACTTTGAACCTCTGCTTGATCAGCGAACGAAAATTAAAAGTCAACTGACACATTAGGTTTATATACATGTATATGTGATTAAACATTTATCATTACTAACAAAATAGCATTTGGATAGAAAGCAGTTTACAAAAGTTTAGCGTGTAAAGGACTAGTTTATTATAATTAGATTGTGTTAGGGATTTTTTTCTTTTTTTAAAACTTTTAATGATCTAAACTGACATGAACCGCCCTGTCCAGACCTAGTTATTGTGTTGCTCAGCGAACCGTTTGAATTATTATTTTACAAGAAATGACAGTTGTATGTCTTGTTAACATTTGCTGTTCTTCAAAGACATGTGGCTTTTTGGGAATATAAGCTCATCAACGACAGAATCATTACTTTTTTCCGCTATTGTTTTGGGCTACTTGTTTCTTACATCCAGCACGTGACTTCATTACTCCAACTCTCTAGTTTAACAGCAAATAGATATGTGTGTGTGTGTATGTTATAAGTTTTATTACTTAGCATATTTTAATTGCGAATAGCTAGGAGTTTAATGACAGTAAAAGTAAGTGTAAAGTCTGTATGTCTGTTAGCGAACAGAACCCTAGAAATAGAAGTGATATACAACTTTTTTATCATTAACCAATTAAAACCATCTGGTTCGAAAGTTTTTATTGCCTGCTGTCTTTAAAAGAATCAGATGTTAACTATGATAACCAGTAAATTATTCCTGTCAAAAACTTAACAAGGCGTTATAAACAACATATAAAAAAAAGGCTTTAACATTGTTAGAAATACTATGAACTGTTACAAATTTCATAAACACTGGCGACAGGACGACTTAATGTCGTTACTTTTATGATAAAGCGAAGCATCCGTCTGAAGAAATCTTCCTAATAGACACTTGGACGTAAATTTTGTTTTTTAATTAGATACTGAATCCTTGATGCTCATTGTTAGCTTAAAAATTGTAAAATTTAAACTTGACATACTGCCCCCCAGTGACACAGCGGTATGTCTGCGGACTTACAATGCTAGAAACCGGGTTTCGATACCCGTGGTGGGCAGAGCACAGATAGCCCTTGTGCAGCTTTGTGCATTATTAAAAACACACAAACACACACTTGACATACTAAATGACAAAAACTTTTATAAATATTTTGTCTCCTTTACCTTAATGAAAACTGTTCTAAAGAAGTCTTTTTTTTTTCTCTTTAAAATTAATTTTTTTTTTGTAGGAAGTGCAAAACTTCTTTATTTCTGCTTTTATCAATATTAATTATTAATTAATTCAAACCTATTAACAAACGCAAGAATTTCGAGGCACGTTCGGATTTGTGCTTTGAATTGTACAATAGAACGAACCACTATCCGAAAATTAGTTTTCAACGTTTCACCAACAATAAACATTTACAGTCCGGGTTAGTAGAATATAACGTGTTAGTGAATATAAATTAACAGTTAAAACACTCTATGGGATTTTGTTCAGTATACGAAGAATGTTGAAACTGTGATTTTGATAATGGAATTAATCTTACAGAGGGTGCTTTAGTGCAGATTATTTGTTTGTTTTGTACAATGAGCTAGCTATCTGCACTGTGTCCAGTGTGGAGATCAAGCTCTCCGGAAATTTAACATTGTACCAATGAGTAAACATCAGTTTTCTCTGTGGCCAGTTTAGATATATTCATTTCCTTATATTACTAGGGTTTCACAGTTAAGATATTTAAATAAACTAGCATTACTTTCTTTTAATTTTAGTTAACTGGAAAAAGTTTGTTCACTGTTTTCTTATCATTTAAAGTCAACACCGAACAAGTGTGCATATTTACGCTGTCCGTCGCTTTCTAAGCTAAAAGATAACCCGCTTATCTAATGTTAACAACTGCTGTCTGGATTTATTTTTATAAAACAAATTAAGCATATATATTTGTATCATGTGAAAGATTAATTCATTATGGTCATTAAAGTTTACCAACAAACATTTGTGGAAGATATTTTGTTTTTTATATATATGTTCTTGTTTACGTCAAGTGTTTTTTATATATATGTTCTTGTTTACGTCAAGTGTTTTATTATATATATGGTCTTGTTTACGTCAAGTGTTTTTATATATATGTTCTTGTTTACGTCAAGTGTTTTTCATATATATGGTCTTGTTTACGTCAAGTGTTTTTCATATATATGGTCTTGTTTACTTCAAGTGTTTTTTATATATATGTTCTTGTTTACGTCAAGTGTTTTTTATATATATCGTCTTGTTTACATCAAGTGTTTTTTATAT